ATATCTATATCTATATCTTTATCTATATCTCCAGTCCTACAGTCAATCCATCTCTAATGTAGAGACTCAGATCCACACCTTTATTGGCTTCAGGATTTGCAATTGGCCACCTTTCAGCACAAGGAGGTTTGGGGGTGCAGGATCAGGAACCAGGAAACTGGGGTCTCCCATAGGATCACTCATCCACATTTGAGCATCCATTCTTCACACCCAAGAGACCATGCAGGGGACCAGGAAGGGCCATTCGGAAGTTGTGGTTGCTGAGGCGATGGGCTGGCCGAGGCCTTAAGTAGGGAGCAGGCAGTTACTCTGAATGTGGGCCCTATCCCCTGGGCCAAGTGGAAGAACCTGGCTGTCCTGCCCCAGTGTGAGTGGAGCACAAGGAATAAAGACAGAGCCGGCCCAGATCCCACTTCTCTCACCCCTAGGCCTCCTTTTGTCTTCAGAGGAAGCAAAGACCCCATGAACTCAGAGGCAAAGGACACAAGGTGACAAGTACCTTGGAGCTGGAAAAGAGCTGAAGTGGGGTGCTTGAATCCATGTGCAGTAGGAGGAAGAGGCCAGGGCTCTGTTGGCGGTGCCTTAGAGGAGGAGCTGGAAGCAGCTGTGTGGGCCAAGCTCTCACCTCCGAGCTGCGACCTCAGCGGTATATCTCTCCGTCCCTCAATACCCAGGACACCGGGTTCCTTTTCTTCTCAAGGTCAGAAGATCAGGAGGGAAGGAGTCCTCTCAGAAGCCAAGCTGCACTTCCATCAAGCCCTCCATTTCCAAGCAGGATGGATCCTAAACTTCCGTCTGGGCTCCTGGCTCCGCGCTGCCCACGATGGCCAGGGAGGGCTCCTTTCCCTCTAGGAAGGCCACGATGCTCTGCCTTTGGCTCTGGAGGGCTAGCTGCAGTGGTGTGCAGCCCACCCCATCCTGGATGTCCAGCAAGGCGCCAGCCCTGACCAGCACTTTGAGGATGGCTGTGTCCCCCTGGAGGGCAGCCAGGTGGGCAGGTGTCCACCCCACCTTGTTACAAGCATGCACATCTGCGCCATGGTCCAGCAGGTTGATGACACTCAAGAAGACACCCTTCTGGACCGCCAGGTGGAGGGGTGTCCAGCCCGACTGCTCAGCAGCTTTGGGGTGAGCCCCACACTGAAGCAGCGCCAGCAATACGGTCTCATCCCCGTGGCGGGCAGCTAGGTGTAGGGGGGTCCAGTTCATACTTCAGGAGCATCCACATCTGCCTGGCTTTCAGCCAGCAGCTGGATGATCTCCAGGTGGCCCTTGCAGGTTGCTAGATGCAGGGACGTCCAGCCCTACTGAGTGGGCAGCTCCAGGCTGGCCCCATATCTGAGCAGCATCTTGCAGATAAGGTACTTGCCCCTGGCAGCAGCGATGTGCAGCGGGCTATAACCACTCTGGCCGAGGGCATCAGGGGCTGCCCCACCCTTCAGCAAGTACTGGATGGCTCGTACTTTGCCCCGCTCCATGGCCAGATGCAACGGTGTCCTCAGGTTTTTCTGCTGAGTGTCCAGTTCAGCACCTTGGCTGGTCAGCAGCTTGACCAGGCTGACGTGGCCAAAGTAGGCAGCCACATGGAGCGGACTCTTGCCCTCAGCCTCACGCAGGTTCGGGTCAGTGTGACAGGACACCAGAAGGTGTGCCACATTCTCAAGTTGTTCTGTGGCCAGGTGAAGTGGGGTCCAGCCTTCGTTCTCCTGGGCATTCACCAGGGCCCCATGACCCAGGAGCAGGCGGGCCATGCGGTCATCCCCATTCTGGGCTGCAAAGTGCAGCAAGGCCCAGCTGTCCTCGTCCACCAGGTTGGCATCAGTGCCGTGTGTCAGGAGCAGGGCACAGAGATCAGGCTGCTGGTCGTGGGCCGCAATGAGGAGAGGCATGTAGCCAGAGGCCGTCTGGCAGTCCACGTCACCCTCATGGGCCAGGAGCAGCCTCACTTGTTCCACGCTGCCCTGGGCCACCAAAAAGTGGAGCGGTATGACCTTGTTCTCATAGACACGTAGCTCCTCGTCATGGGGACCAGGCTCTTGCTGTCAGAGAGTTGCAAAGCCTGCTTCAGAGAGTCTCCCAGATCTGCTGGGAAGAAGATAGTGTAGCAAATGAGACCGAAGACCTGTATAGAGCTCAAGGTGGCCATCTCTCGGCCTCATGCAGGAGCAGAGACTAGCAAGGTGACAGCGAGGCCTTTCCTGGTGTCCAGGGTCTCCTCACATTCATTACCAACACAGGAGGAGCTCTGGCCTCATTGTCTGAGCCTGCAGGCTTCCGGCACAGATGTGGTGGAACAACCAAGCTCATAAGGCCCAGGTCCAAACCCTTATTCCACCTGGAGCAGCCCTGACCTCAGCCAAATCTCTGCCTCTTTAGGCCTCCATGGCTGGCTGGGTAAAGGGGAGACCAACATTCTCATCTCATTGCACGAGTGTGAAGACAAGGTAGGCAGGGAAAACCTTTCAGGGGAGGCTGGAGAGGGATGAGTCCAGGCAAATGGAAGGCACATTTGTGCTTGGCACTCTATAATCTAAACTCCCCTGGAAGTCTGCAGTGGGAAGGTCTTGCTTCCCACTACGGTACCCAGTGGTGGATCAAAATTAAAGATTACAAGAGTGACTATGTCTCAGGCCCAACTCCCTGGACTGTGATTGGATTTGTCTAGGATCTATTGGATCTGTCCAGGTATCCGTTTTTGTTTGGTTCTTAATTTCCCAAGTGGTGTGCTGTCCTCGCCGAGAACCCACGTTGCACCTCTTGGGTCAGCCTGGAGGAGTCTAGCTTTGCTAGGACACATGAAGGGAGAACAAAACCAAGACCTTCAGCACCCATGTGTTTCTAGGAAAGGGCCCCACAACCTTGGGTGTAGGACAGGCCGGGGAGCAGGAGACAGCATGGGGCCTGGGTATGGCAGGATCCTTCCCGTGAGTTCTCTGGCCCTGTAGCAGCACCCTGGGCTTACCACTGTCTGTCAGCTCCTGGCTGGCTTCCTCACTGACCTGGGAAAGCACAATCAGCAGAGATAGCTGCATCAGTAAGGCAGAGCTCCCTGCCACCCTCAAGACTTGTGTCCCTTCCCAACCTGAAGATGCCTCCTACACCTGTGCCCCACCCCAGCTGTGTCTAGAGGAAGGTATGAGCAGAAGAGACCTGGCCATACCAAGGTGGCCCAAGGCTTGGCTTCCTTGGGGCCGTATGGATGCAGGGTGGATCTGTGGGTTCATTTAAGTGTTCCCACAGCTTTTGGCTGGTTCCTATTTCAGAGTAGGGACAGGAGGGCAGAAAGATGATGTTGACACCCACAGAATGACAGCTCAGGAGAGCCGAGGCATCCCTCTGCAGGACCCCAGAGAGCATGACCTGAGGCTGCACCCACCTCCTGGGGCTGGTGGCTTAGAGATGGTTTGCAGGACACCTTCCTGGCCAGGGCCTCCACCTCAGGGTCTGCCACAGGACCCTCGAGCAAGGACAGCAGGATGTCTGTTTCAACTATGATGTCTGTTCCACAAGAGACAGAGAGAAAGGAGGTATCAGGTTGGCCAGTGGTCCTCTCCCAATTTTAGATACCCTAACATTTCCTTAGTGTCCCCAAAACCTATTCCTAGGCTCATAGACAACCACATAAGCACAAAAGGCACCAGAAGAACACTGGGTCCCATTTTGCCTTGATAGGGACACACTTGGCAGGTCACCGGCACTCTGAGGATTGCAGTGCTTTCCCAAAGACAAAGAGGCAGGGCAGGGAGTCTCTAGCATGCTCGTGTTAGCTGTCCTCACTGTCCCTTCCAGGCCTGGGGGCACTTTCAACAGTGAGGATGCTGCGGCCCTGACAGGACCTGGCTGCACAGTTTGGCCACAGGGCCAGGCTCAGACGCTGCACCTCCTGCCTTCTGCATTGAGGGCTCCTACTCTACCTCTCGCAGCCACATACCAAGCAGAACCTGGACCTCAGCTGCCCCACGCTCCAATGCCTCCTCCCTGCCCCATGATGCAGGTTCTGCTGCTAAAATCTCTCTGGGCCCCCCCTGCTGCAGTTGTGTCTGCACGGCACCCTGAAGGCCTTGGGCCTCAATCTTGCCCCCTCCTGGCCCCTCTCAATCCCTGGGCAGGGAAGGCTGGGCGAGCACCCAGGAAGCATGGCCTCTTCTTGGGGTCTTGGTCCCAGTAGTGCTTCACCAGGGCCACCATCTGCTGGGCCTCGCCTGGCCACTCAGCTGAGACAGGCTGCAGGGAGGGCCGCATGCCTGCTGCTACTTGGACTATGATGGTCATCATGTTGAGTCCTGTGGGAGGGGACCCAGACTGAGCTGGTGCTAGGAGGCAAGAGGGCAGGGCCAGAGAGGACACTGGTGTGCACACAGTAGGGGCACTATGAATACTCTGTGGTAAGCAGATCTTGTACCCATAGGAGCCCCTGATTTGAGCAGGTGGGTCTCCGGTCCAGCTCCAGCCTCATGCCAGCTCAGGAGTGAACTGTAGGCTTTGGTCATGGAAAGGCAGCAAGCCCAGGCCTGCGGAAAGGTTTTGTTTGGCTGCCAAAGGTTCTAGCCTATCTGGTTTCCTGCCTATCTCTTTTCTTGCCTCTAGATGGCAGGCTGGGGAGAGGCAGGGAGGAACGCTGGGGCCAGGGCGTTGCAGCCACAGGTGAAGTCTAGGCTGAGCTTTGTTGTTACTCTTATAGGAGTTCCTGACACAAGGGGTGCAGAACAGTGGGATGAGGGATGAGCCCTTGAAGGGCTGCGGTTCCCAGCACCAACCTCAGCTTCCTCTTCCCTGCTCAACCTCGGCCTCCCTTACTTCCTTCCAGGACCCCATCTGCGAGGGCTGCCCTTGCCCCAGTCTGAGAGCCCCCGCCATATGCCACCTGAGTATGGTTTCTTCTGAGTGAGGAGCTCCCAGATGACAATCCCGAAGCTGCAGAGAGAAAGAACACACTCCCTAAAGGACTGTCCGACAGCCATGATTCCCCAGTCAGGGGACCCCCACAGACCCCAGGACCCCAGGCAAGGCCTCTCCAATCAGAGTTCCCCTGCCTCTCCCTCTTCTCCCTGAGCAGGGAAGGGCCAGACCTTATCGCTGTCCTTCTCTGTCCACTGGCCACAGGGACCATGAAGGTGGTGGCAACAGTCTGCCTTCTGGGTAGGTGACCTAGAGCCCAGCCACCCTCTCACCTGTACACATCAGAGCTGGGCTCAGGGGCTTTGTTACTCCCCAGGAACATCTCAGGGGGATGTAGCTGAGCGTACCCTGCACAGCTGACCTCTCAGTGCTCTGCGTCCGAGTTGACAGTTCCATCCACTTAGACAGGCCGAAGTCTGAAATCTGGTGGAAAGCCAGATGCCAGGGGTGGGTTGCAGGGGAGTCTCACCACACAGGCTAGCTTTTATTCCTCCCCCTTGCATTTCATCATTGTGCTTTCCTCCTTCACTGCCTCCCAGCTGAACTACCAGCTACCTGCATGATCTCGGACAACTCATTTACCTTCAGAAGCTCAGTTCCCTCACCTGTAAGATGGCAACAAAATCAGTACTTCACTCACGGGGATACTGTGGGCATTCAGTGAGGCCTATGAACAGCACTCAGGACACAGCACATGATACATACTTGGCAAGTGGTGCCATTACCTGGAGGGACTATGGGGACAGTGGCCAGCTGCCATGGGCTTCTGCTCATGTGCCTGTACCTGCCTCAGAACACTTACACCATGCATGTTTATCCCCCCATCCCTCCCTCACCAATTTTCCAGGCATTGCAGGTGTTTATCTCCCCCCATCACTAATTTTCCAGGCATTGCAGGCCACTAAGATAGGGAGCTCCATACTCTCCCTAGAGATGTTCAGACAGGGGTTACACATCTTAGTGGAAGAGTTTCACAAACGATCATGTTCTTGCAACTGGAGTTAGCAATATACAGAAAAAGGGACAGTGAGGGCATAGAACAGTGCCCTGCTGAGGCAGATAGGGAAAGACTTCCCTGACGAGTAGTGTTTAAGCTCTGAGCTGACAGGTGATTAGACCTTTGCTGGATGGAGAGAGAAATATGCAGACATTTCAGGGAAGAAAAGAGTATGCCATGTTTTAGGAACTAGAAAAAAAAAAGTTACTATGAGCTTTCTTAGGGATTATTTCATTTATATACATCCCTGCCACAAGCAAAAAATGAGAGGAATAGGAAATATTCTACCTATTTTAGTAACAAGAAGCTAGGGCCTACAGGGCATTACAGCTGGCCTTCCAGTGTTCAGGTTCATGTCCTAAGTTCGCTGTACATCCATCCTTCTCTGCTTCAGGTGAGGCCCTTTCCTTCAGTATTTGTCCGAGAAGAGAACTGCTTAAACCTCTAGAGAGGCCTGCTGGCAGGCAGATAACCTTGCCCTCCTGGGTTAGAGTGCAGCCTGCCTTCAAGGGGCCAAGGAGATTGAGCAGGCTTCTCACCTTGACATGCATATTGCTGTCCAGCAAGATGTTGCCTGGCTTGAGGTCCAAGTGGAGCAGAGGGGGCCTAATGCTGCGGAGAAAGTTCATGGCCAAGCTGGTCTCATGGAGGATGCGGAATTTGAGCTGCCAGCTGGGCCTGTGGGTGGGTAACATCTTCTCCAAGGAGCCACCGGCCATGAGCTCCATCACAATGCCCAGGGGCTGCCTGCACACCCCGTAGATGGGCACAATGTGCTGAAACTTGATTTTTTCCATTTTGGCTGCTTCTTCAATGAGGGTGTTCACATCGGAGCTGGGGGGGGGGTCAACAGACAAAAGAGGTGACCTGTCAGTTACAAGAGCAACCAGCACAATGTGCCACGTGAGCACCATGCCAAAGAGAAGGGACCCAGAGAAACATCCAGAACTTCAAGGTAGTGGAGGAGAAACAAGAACCGGTGTTTAGCAGGCAGTGCAGATGAAAGCTCAGATGGCCAGCAGCGACGAGACGGGCCATAAAGGCTCAGCAGCCCGTCTGCTCTGCAGAGCTGGTTACGACAAGCAGGCATCGCAGCCTGCCATTTACCCGGGCTGCTTGTTGGTTTGTTTATCTCCCTCAGCAGATTTCAAGTTCCTGCAGGGCTGATATTACGCCTCGTGCTTCTGCTTTAAAACATCTATTGCCATTTTGATTATGAAGGTAATACATGTAACCTGCAGAAAACCTAGAGAATTCAGAGAGCTATAAAAAAAGAAAATTAAAGCACCAGTAATCTAACCTTGCAGAGTTGGCAACAGCTAATATCACCGGGTATTTTTTCCGTGATACATTTCGAGATATCTCTTCCCCTTCTCCCTTCCTTTCACTCCCCTCTCTCCCCCTCTGTCTTTTGATCTCGGGCACGCAGCGGAGCCTGCGCACTTCCCAACGCCGTCGTTCTCCGGAAGTACGGTCTTAATGACGACGCGGCATTCTGGTTTATGGATGAACCATAATTATCCCTCTTTGTACTCCCCACAGCACACTGCCGACACCACACAATACGTCTTTGTTGGAGTGAACAGAAGTCAAGACGTAGCGGAAAGCCTTACAAAATAAGCACCTGCAAACCCGCTCGCTCATTTCTCTGTGTCACCCGCAGAACAGTAAATATCCAAACTAATAAGAGACTGCTCGGGGATTATGGGGATGAGGATTAAGGAGAAATAGCACCTTTTTCTTTCTTTCTTTCTTTCTTTCTTTCTTTCTTTCTTTCTTTCTCTCTCTCTCTCTCTCTCTCTCTCTCTCTCTCTCTCTCTTTCTTTCTTTCTTGAAGGAGGGGATTGAACTCAGGCCTTTGAGCTTGCCAGGGTGCCTTGATTTCCTTAGTTTTTGCTTTTCCTTCTCTACGGTTCAGAGAGCTCCATCCACTCCATCTCTGATATGCTTTCTCATCTTCTCCATTCCAGTTGGGCTCACAGAAAGTAGAAAAACATCTGTCGCAACGCAGCCAAAGCGTAGGCTCTGAGGGTCATCATCCTGAGATCAGATCGCAGTGACAGCGTGAGTGGGGCAAGCGGATTCTCCCGGTTTTAAACTATAGGATGGGAACAGTGGTAACAGCCAAGCACAAGTTCTCAGCCCGGCTCCAGGAGAGGGCCGCCACAGGCCCTCTCTCTGCTCCCTCTGCCCTCTTCTGTGTGGTTCTTGGTGTTCGTGCTGCGCCCATCACCTGCTCCTACAATCTCTGACCAAATTTAGGCTCTTGGTTGAGAGTTCAGATCTCTCACTCCTTTCTGAAACTCTCGTACCTCAGCCATTACCAATGTTCTCCTGCATTCCTCCCTCTTGTTCTGGTCTCCTCCTCTTTGCCCTGCAGGCATAGGCCACTTGGCCACTGGCTAGGTCTTGGGGGGCGTTCCTTTCTTCCTTTGTCTGCTCATTCTCAAGTCTCTAAGTGGATGCTCAGAGTTTAGGGGGCCTAAAGCTAAACCTTGGGTCTCCCTTAGCACCTGCTCTTCTCTCTGCCTTCTTTGTCTCCTCCACTCGCAGACAGGGACTTGGGTGTGTCTTTGACTCTTCCTCCCACTTCCACAATCAGGCCCTGGCCAAGTTCTGCCACTTCTACCTCTAAAATACAGCATGAACGTGACTCACTTCCACCACTTCTGCCATCTGAATCTTGGCTCAAGTCTTTTTTAGTATGTCTTTATAGTGCACAATTCTTACCTTCATCTTGGGGAATTAAAGCATACACATATTCCATCTTGACCATTCTTGTCCCCTAACTCCCACCCTCCTGTCTCCCTCCTTTCCCTTCTTCACAGTCTACCTCTTTGTTTCCTCATTTATTTCATTCTTTGCTTATATTTTAGGCTTCTCATATTAGAGAAATCATGCAAGGTTGTCCCTCTCTACCAGTCTGCCCCCACCATATGGGCCCCTTGCTATCCTGCCCCTCATCTCTAGCCTGTTCCAACTCCAGGATCTTTGTGTGGGCTGCTTCCTCTACTTAGAAGACCCTACCCTCATGGCTTGCTCCTTCCCCTGCCTCAAAGATCTACTCACATGGTGCCTAATTATTAACCGTTTACAGGTCTATACAAAACAGTAACCCCACCCCAATTCCTGTATATACATGCAGCCCACAAATGAGTATTTTTGGACCACATGTATTCTGGAAAGATCAGACTAGTCCATTCTCCTTATGCATTTTAATCAAGAAATGTCAAGTAGTTATAAGTACTAGAGACAGAATTGTTATTTATCATCATGTGGCTATAGCGCGCCTAGTGAGAGCCAGGCACCACAAAAGCACTTGGAACAGAGGACTCTGGACTTGGCCTTCCGGCAAGACCTGTGTGAGCGCTGGCAGGAGGCCTGGACCTGCTCCCAGGCCTGCAGGCTGGGCAGTGTCTATGGTTCTTGGCATCCCAGCTGGCAGCAGCATGGGAGGGTCCAGCCCAGAAAGCCTGGGACAAGAAGGTGGCTCGCTGCAGGTCATCCAGTGAACTCCAGCACCTCTCAGGAAGCCCAGTGATGCCGTGTAGGTTTTGGGTGAGAAGGAGCGCAGCAGGGGGTGGCCAGAGCAGTCGTCACCCCAAAAGAAAAGAAGAGAGCAGGATGAGTTTGAGAGAACTGGAGGACAGGGCCTCGCTGACCTCTGTTGGCCCCACACACAGGCTTTGCGTGCCTGGAGTGTTTCCAGTGCAGAGGCAGAGAGCGGTGCCTCGGAAACTCGGGCTTCGAGGCAGACTTCGCAAAGGCTCTGCCTCCACCCCAGCTCCCTGCTCCCTCGGGGCTCTCTAGGTCCAGTCTTGCCAGCCTCAGTTGCCCCCCTGTGAGGACGAGTCACAGACACCTGGTGGTGTCCTGTTGTGGGGAGGGGGAGCACTTGATGACATACCGGGTCCTCCAGCGCCTGTGCTGCGCCTGGAACACCTGACTGAAGCCGCTGCTGGCTACGTGTTGCTAGCTGTCCTCAAAGTCCTCCCTGGTGAAGATGGTGAAACTGGCCAGCCGCTGCTCCACGGGCTCAGCAGCCACGGGGTCGGCGCAGCTGCCAGGGCCCTTCCCCGTGCCCTCTCCAGCTGCAGTGGGAGGGAGAGCCAGCAATCTCAGCTTCCTGCTCCTCAGGTCCCAGGAAGGTGGGGTTGGCAAGGTGAACAGCTCTCCCTCTTTCAGCCCAGGAGGAGCTGATACTGCCCCGTAAAGGCAGGGCAAACCTCCAGTAGGGCTGGAGGCAGGCTGTGAAGCGGAGGGTGGCCCCTGGGAGCACCTTGTGCTTCCTTTTCTTGGCTTTTGATTTCCTCCCAGCTGTCCCCGCTACCCTCCCAGGGAGAGGTACAGACCACTGGGGCTTCCTGCAGTTGGAAAAATAAGCACAGCTTGAGAAGTTAATTCCCTTTTATTTAGAAAAATGCCTAATGGAAGTTGGTTGTCACCTTTCTGCAGCACTATGTAGGGTATTTGTGAAAGGTTTTGGGGTCTCTGTGGAATGCCCCAGCAAGTATGGGGTTCAGAAAATTATACTGAAGATAATTGGGTTGGGTTTTCTCTTTCTGATAGCCAGTCTCAGAGTGCCAAAGGCTATCAAAGAGGGCCAGCAGGCACAGGGAGCGGGCTCCTGGACTCCTGCTTGCAGAGATGGCCCCTTCTTGGCTAAGTTCTCAGCACAACCTTGGAGCAATCAGCACCTATGTGCCCATTAGGGCAGCGGAGAGAGGACGTTTGTGGAACAACCAGAGCATTGCCGGGACCACATCTGGAAGTGGGGCAGCCCCGCTGGGAGGACCACAGAGCAGCGTTGGGATGCTCAGGAATTTGGCCTGAGAACTCAGAGCAGAGACTTGGGCCTGAGGGGTAGAGAATATCCCTGTAGCGCCAACTTGTGTCCCGGTCAGATTCAAAGCCATGCGGGTGGATAAAGGTGGCCAGAGGGGGGCGGGAAGAGGTGTTCCAGAGAAGCAGTGGAGGCACAGTGTGGCGGCTTCCTCTGTTTCTCTGAACTGCCTGCTTCCTTTTCCTGGCTTCTACTCTGGGTAGTGCCTTGCTCCCTGCCTGAGATGCAGGTAAAAGGGAAAGAAAGCTTCTCAGCGCTGCAAAGTGAGTCTTGGCCCCGTGGAATTTCCTCTTCAACTCTCATCTCAAAGCCCTTCAGAGCAGGGAGAACTAGGAGTGCTTCCACAGCTGGGGCTCCCAAGGACACTGGCCACGGGCAGGCACTGCGGGGGGCACCGCAACAACACAGGGCCAGGTTAGCCACCTCTCAGCTGTGGCTGGGCAGCAGGACAGAAGTCTATAGGGAACCTCCAGAGTGGCCAGATTCAAGCTGGAGGTGCCCACCTTTCATAGGAGGAAATGCCTCACCTTCGGGCTGTACCTAGAGAGCCCCTCCAACATGCCGTCAACTCACCAGAGGGGAGGCATGCCAGGCAAGCAGAGACTCCTAGTGGAAGGTTCCCAGAATATCTTCAACACAACCTTGAGGGGGAGTTCTGGTGAGCAGACTGTGCCTGAGTCAGTTGTCAGGGGTACCAAGGTTGGCTGCTCTTAACTGAGCATCAACTCCGTTCCCGGATAGTAGCTGCTTTACCTACTGCATGTACTTTATAGATACTTTCTTGCTCAAATCCATACCACTGGCCACAGAGCTAGTAAATGGTAGTTGATATTCAAACACACGTCTCTTGGTTCCTGTAGATATGGGTTGGGCCTGAGAAAAGGAACATGGGGAGCCTTTTAAGAGACGAAGAGAAGGGCCTGACTTCTATCCCCGGTTCCACCAAAAAAAAAAAAAAAAAGTCTAAGAGAAAAGGGAAAAGGAATTGTGCTGTTTGGAAGAGGCTGAAGGTCATGGAACTGCTATCCAGAGTGGACGTGTACCCTACACACGATGTCAGAGAGAGGCGTCAAGCTTGCTTTGGCTGGGGCGAGGCATGGCGCACCAGAGCCTGTCCCTGGAGCAGCCTTTCTGGTTCCTGGTGAGTCAGCAAAGCTTGGAAGGCAATGGAGAACATTACCATTAGGAAGAGCGAGAGGTGAAGGCAAGGCCTCTTGCCTCTCGTGGGTGGGTGGGCGTGTAGCCTGGACTGGCGGCAGCCCCTGACCCTGAGGAAGTCTGACTCAGGGCTGCATCTTTGACACTCGGCAGGACCATCCTTGGCTCCTGGACAAAGCAGCAGGAGTGCACGACTTGGATTTGCTTCATGGTCCCCTTATCCTTGCTACTCCACAGTGAACAAGGATCCAGAAACTGTTAGTGGCTTTATGAGGAGATCGTCACAGAAATGGTGAAGGAAACACCACCCTGGGAGAGGGCCTTCCAGGACTCCAAATACAATACTGCTGTGAGCGGCTTACAGAGTGGAGGTGCAGGGACCCTGGGATCCAGGGGGACCCTGCCGATGACCTGTCAGAACAGCAGAGCTGTGGTTCAATCGCCCTAGAGCTTTGGAGCAACCAGGCAGAATAGATTTGTGAAAGCATTTCCCCATCACAGCTGGAGTGGTGACACTGCCACATGATCCTGCTTTGATCTCTCCAAAGTGGGCCAGGCAAAGTGGGCCCTGGTAGTCTCTGAAAAAGCTCAGAGCAAGGGGGCCTTTCCTGAGTGAAAGGGGACAGAGGGAAACAACTGCTAGGTCCCTCAGGAATAAGGGGGTGAAGCTGAGGGGGGAAAAAAGCAAGATCCATCCAGAAGCTTCTTCCCAGTGGTCAGAGTGCCAAAGTCCCCAGATTCCTGCTAGTGTGGGAGGCCCACCCTGCCCCCCACCCAGTTCACTGCAAAGAGCTGTGTACGGGGAGCTGCACTCTCAGCCTACCTGAGCACAGGGACACATAGAGATGGTGGTGATCTGAGCGTGACCCATTCCCACTGGAACATGCAGGAAACACGTTCTAGCCTTAGGGGTTTTGCCCTAAGAGGCCCAGAGTGCTTCTGGTTGACTGATTTCAATGTATTTTACTCTGGCAGATTGAGAATAGAATTTTTCTGGCCTTGGAGTTATTAAATAAAGTTTCTGTGCCTGTGTGTTCTTGTCCTTCAGGAAGCTGAAATTTGCATCCTGCTACTCCCAGACCAGTGAGCTGGCTGGAAGGCTCCGAGGTACTCTGGGTAATGCTGCAATCCCTGCTAGCTGCTCTCCAAACCAGAATGATAAGCTATTTGCATACAGGGAAGTTCCCCAATGTGCCCCCATGTTCCACACTGTAAACATGTCACAGAGGACACTTGGACATGTTCTAGCAGGCTCCAACTTCTGATAGCTGGGTGCTGAGGCCAGGGTAAGGTTGGTCAAGATAAAAGAAGGCACATGAGAGAAGCTGGAGCAGCTGCCCAGGAGGGACTCCAGAGAGAAAGGAATTGAATTGAACTATGGCAATAGAAGTCAAGCGTATGAGCACACGCGTTAGGAAGACTTGCATTTGTTCCCTGGGTTTTATCTGCATGGCTGCTGTAGGACCTTGACCACATTTCTACATCTCTCAGGGCTTTTCCAGCTATAAAAATAAGATAGAAACAGTAATACCCATTCCAAAAGGTGGGTGCAAGGTTTATAAACATTAAAAAGGCAACGAAGTGAGTACCCACAGGCAAGAAATGAACCAGCTTACACAAAATTAATTCCAAATGTATCTTGTGTTTAAATATAAACTATACTCATTAGAGGAAAATACCATCCACTCAGGATGGGGCCCAAAGCTCCTAGGCTTCATACCACCAGTAAAGTCTGTGCAATGAAAATTTGATAAATTGGACTCCAGTGGAGTTAAAACTTTCACTTTGTGAAAGGCCCTGTGAAGATGATAAAAAAGATAAACCATAGACAGGGGTAAAATACTTGCAAACAGGGCTGAGGAGATAGCTCAGCAGCACAAGTGCCTGCTCAGTAAGCACAAGGTCCTGAGTTTGATCCCTGATATATATTGTATTTGACAAAGTGCTAGTTTCTAGGGTATACAAAGAGATTTTCAAACATAATGATTAAGAGACCAACCAACCAACTAACCAAAAAACCACCAGAGACTATCCAACTAGAAAGTGCAGAAAAGACACATCCAGGCATTTCGCTGAAGAGGATACACAGATGGCAATCAATCACATGAAAAGGGGTTCAATATCGTTAACCATTAAGCAAACATAAATTGAAGCCCAATGAGACGTCATCATACCTGTATCAGAATGGCTTCAAGTAAAAATAAAAAATTAGTTACAACACCAGATGCTGATGAGGTGACAGAGAAACTGGAGGGAGTAAAGACTGGTACCATCACCCTGGCAAATGGCTGGGCAGTTTCTGATAAGATTGAACATAATTCCCATACTACCTAACAGCTTCACTCTCGGGACACTGCCCTAGAAAGTGAAAAGTTATGCTCACACAAAAATCTGCTTATGAACCGAAGCTCTGCGGTAGCCAAAAATCAGAAGACAGCCCAGGTGACCTGCCCCAAGAGATGGCTAAACAAACAGGCCAGTACAGACTATAGAACACTTCCCAGCCACGACCAAAGCACCGCAGCAACTTCGATGCGTTTCTAGGGAAACCTAATGACCGAAGAAAGCTGCTATTAAGAGAGTTCGTATTGCCTGACTCGTTCACATTCTTCAAATGGTAAAATCGTAGAGATGGAGAACAGATTAGTGTTTGTCAGAGATGGCAGGAGGAGGTAGAGGCAGCTACAAAGGATGGGG